CAGGGCTGGATGAACACAGCAGGCCAAGCAGCATCATAGGAGCAGAGAGGCTGATGCTGCTTGGCCTGCTGTGTTCATCCAGCCCTGCACCTTGTTGTCTTAAATTTTACAAACCCAGTTTCAGATTAATTTTTGGAGTGAAGATCACTAATTCCCCCATTTGCATTCACCTAGTGGAAAAAGTTAATAAATGGTGAGGTACTAAGAAGTACACAGAGGCAACTAATTGTTTTAAACAAACAAAGTGACAGTACTTTTTCTCTGTCAGGTATCAAGTCTCTCAGGACAGTATGCAGGACCTCAACTTCAGCCAATGCCACCTGAGCCAATTGCTCAGATGTACATGACCACACAATCAGTAATCCATCATTTTCCTTTTCCTCCCCAAGTGCAAACTTTACTTTGGTCTTATTCACTTGAATTCAAGACGCAAATTGCAAAAATCACTTCCATCCTACCATAGCATATTACCGTAACAAAATACAAAATCACACTGCCTTCAGTGATATGTTTATCCAGAAACATTTCAAATTAATTTCAAATGCAGGATATTATGCTACACAAATAAAAGCAGAAATAAAAACATTTTGTACGACAATCAAAAACTTACTGGGGCTTCCGACATCAAAACAGGATGTAGACTAGCTTCAGATTTTATGTGATTCTTATATGTGTGATCTAGAATTGCTTGAAAACTGTCCCAGTCTTCAACTGTAAATACAATAGAAAGTAAGGAATGTTAACAAACAAGCAGGCTTTCAGAAGAAGGGTCCAGACCCGAAACGTCAGCTTTCCTGCTCCTCTGATGCTGCTTGGCCTGCCGTGTTCATCCAGCTCTACGCCTTGTTATCTCAGGCTTTCAATGTATAACCTTTAAAAAAAACTAATCTTCAATCTCGCAGTTGCAAGCTAAAGATGTTATGAGGTAGACAGATTCATAGATCAGACTATTAATATTTCACATTTAACGTGTTATAAAAAAAAATCAACAAGAATGCTTGAAATTTAAAGACTGATGAATTCTGATTAATAGGCATTTAGTATAGGAGTTGGGAGGCCATGTTGTGGCTGTACATAACATTGGTTAGGGCACTTTTGGAATACTGTCTTCAATTCTGGTCTCCCTGCTAAAGGAAGGATTTTAAACTTGGCATAGGTTTAAGGTGAGAGGGAAAAGATTTAAAAGGGACCTAAGGGGCAACATTTTCCTTCGAGGGTGGTGTGTGTATGGAACATTTTGCCAGAGGAAGTGGTGGAAGCTGGTACAATTACAATGTTTAAAAGGCAGCTGGATGGAGATGTGAACAGGAAGCATTGAGAGGGATATGGGCCAAATGCTGGCAAATGGGACTAGATTAACTTAGGATATCTGGTCAGCATGGACGAGTTGGACCAAAGGGTTTGTTTCTGTGTGCTGTGCATCTCTATAACTGTAATACAATGCCCAGGAAAAAAAATTCAAACAAAGCCATACACCTGAGCGCTAGATATAGTTTCAGTAATCACGGAATGGTTTTATCCAAAGTAACATTATTTTATTTGGGAGAAATGGTGAGTCTCATTTATATATGTTAATGTAAATTTGCAATTTGTTGCATGGTGGGGGAGGGGGGTGGTTTGCCTGACATGAAGATATTTCAAATGCGCTTTCAAGCCTACTAAGCAATTTTAGAGCATGGTACTGCTAAATTCTTAGCAAAGCAGCAGATAATTTACACAGATTAAGCTTTCACAAACACCAAATTTTGAACTATTTATTAAGGAATAAATTTTGACCGGGGCACAATGCATGACTCCCTTGCTCTTTGAAGTAAGGCCATGGAATCTTTTATTTCCACCTGAGGGAGGAGACGGAACTTCAGTTTAAGTCTCATTTGAAAGATGGCTTCTCCAACATTAGTGCAGTACCTCAGTACTACAGCAAAGTGTCAGTCTAGATTATATGTTCAAGCCTCTGAATTGAAACCACGTGCCTTTGACTGGAACTCCAGAGAATTTAACGAACTGAGCCAACACTGAAGTTAAGAAAGATGAAGAGGAAAAGCAATATGCAAAAAGCTAGGGGGAAAGGTGGAGACAGTAGTGGTTTGGCAAGGGTTGGAGTGGTCACACAAAAGGTAACATTTGTGACAGGGTGAAAGGCAGGAAAGGTTAAATGACAAAAGCTGTACAGCAAAAGACAATGAGAATAGACAGGTATGTTACAGAGAGGAGTTTGACACCTGTCTGATAATTAACACTGAAACACAGAGAAGCTTGCCTCACATTGTAATCTGTTAAAGGAAACGTGAAAAGTGGTATACCTGCCTCTCACCTCCTAATCTGTTATAAAGGAGAGGTAAATAAAATGAACTCCTGACAGTCGCTCTATAATCAACAAGTAACAATTTATTTATCTAACTCTAACAGTTAAGAAATTAACAGAACTACTAACAAACCAAACAATTCCCCCTTAACTAGTAATATTTGCGAATAAAACAAAATTCTAAAGGTATGTTGTTCCAATAGATACAAGTACCACTTATATAAAATATATTAAAGCTTAATCTCTCGAAATTACAGCCAGGATAAGACCTCCGGAATGTTCTTTGCCTTCTCGCTTTCCTCCAGTCAGGAATGCCTTCCTTCATCAAACTGTTGTGATGAGTATTAGCTGAGAGTGCCGTAGTGCCTTTCTTTAGATGATGCTTACTCTGAGATCTTAGAGATTTCTGTGAGAGCCAGTGATTTTTTCCTTCTTTACAGTTGTTTGCTGTTGAGAGCTGTTCTCTTAAGATATGGCAGTTTGCTCTCACCCCGATTTTCAATGCTCTCTTCTTTTATACCCTTGATGACCTATTAATTTCTTACAATAGGACTAGTCCAAGGCTGTCAAAACCATTAGATCTAAATTTAATTGGGCTTCGGTATCTAGGGCCTGATTTAAATTAATTGGCTAAATTCAAAACCTGTTGCCTTGGTAAAAATGCTGCTTTGCCTGCAAACATACCCCTTTGATACAAATGTTTCAATTCGAGAACTCTCTATACAGCTGCTGCTGCGTGCAGGCTTGGAGACCTAACAAAAAACCTAGTGAAAAAAACACTTTTTTTTGAAAAGGGTTCACGCACTCTCCCCCCTTATTTTACAAACAAATATTCTAACATCCTACCTTCCAATCCACAAATACTGTATCCAATTTTGCAACAGGTACAAGTAAGAAAAACAGAAAGGATATCTCTAAAGGCCAATATGAACAGCACAGCAACAAATTGCTGTTGTCCAAAAAAGGAAAAAAGTCAAGCCAATATAAGAGAAGCAAACAAAATTGAGGTGGAACTTGCAGTGTAACGGAGTTGAACTCAATGTTGAGTTCATATGGAGCAATGAAATTTTTTTAAAATCACATTGAAATGGCTGAAAGATATCCTTGACGGAGCCATGTACTGTAGACGAGGCCAGCGAAGCAGACCTGGGCAAGGTTTTAACTAAATACCAACTTGATTTGAAGTTAGTATTTGTTGGTCACTGCAGACTTATTGTCAGTGACAGAATTTAGCACAGGACTGTGCAAGAATTATTAATCCAGAAGGTAATGGAAACCTAGAGGATAGTGGACCAAGCAATAGCAAAAATAAGGTGAGCAAGTAGAAGTTATCAGCATAACAAACTACAGGCAGTACGAGTTTTGCACTTTAGCGTCACATGAAGACTTATGCTATAAAATAGAAGATCCTTGTGCTGAACTTTATTTGCTTAATGGCAAAAAAAATTGAACTCTTCTACAGATCACATGCTTCACCAAATAAATGCCATCTCAAAATTTTGATGAGAAATCTCTACAGAATCATTTTCCATGATATTTGTTTAGTCAATATACTAAATAATATAAAATCATACGTATATTAATAATCTGCAACAGGCAATGGATTTTTTCAGATTCATTGTGCACGTAATATCCACATTTGTTCATTAATATGGGCGTGATTACATTTGACTCAACCTACAGAATCAGATTTAGAGTTCAAAATTTACTATTTAAAAACGAGTTCAAGAATCACTAACCTCAAGAGTCTTAACGTTATGTAAATAACTGTCATTAGTTTATCGTACATATAGTGATTGATGGGAACAAATTGCAATAGATCCCTTTAGACACTAGTATAAAAGTAGCAATCAACCCCAAGCTGCAGTGTATTAGATGAACTCAGTCATGATGATAGCATGGCCTTAGTAACCTCATTTGGCACAGCCGGTTGGATGAAATCAACCAGTCATTTTGCTTATCTGTAATTTTCATGGGAGAATTAGCGTATGGACATGGTGACGGGCGAACTGGACTTGGTACAATTCTTACCTCTCCCAAGCTTGATTCAACAGCTTGCATGCACTCGCTCCTATGGTTTACACATCAATATGGAGTAACGTAATAAAGAAATCCTATCAGTGAGATTGATCTACAGAGACGGTCAGGATAGAGAAAACTGGCAAGGAGAAAACAGTAATTAAATAGCTAACGTACTCATTCCATTCTTCAAAGGAGAGATAACTTCCATATTTTCCCTTGGAACACGCAAAGAGTTTGTGTCAATGAAATAAGTTGTGCCACTTGACTTTCCTTTGTCTCCTTCTATTTCCATAGGCGCGCTTCCATCATCCCTCTCCAAGAGAATGCCAATTGCCGTTGGAAAGTCTGCCTTTAAAAAAGTTAGATTACCGAGTTCAAAATATATTTTCAGCTAGAGTAGTTTATTCAATATTAGAAATAAAATATACATAAAGTACTATTTAAAGTATTTGTTTACTATAGATAAACAACTTCACATTGAATGTTCATTTAAAAGCTACTTTACCATACAAAAACTTCTTAGAACAGTGTATCATTTAATATCAGAATAATCAAAATACATGCAAGGATACGAATCCCTACTGAATCCTGCGAGCACCCCAGAACTGTTGCCATCACCTTTTAAAGATGCATACAATCAGTATCACTGTTTGTAATAAAGAAAACTGAGGAAACACAAACCAATTTTTACAAATCAAAAGCTGGTTTTTCTGATGGCTCAGCAAGTTTATCTGGTGGAATGAAACACTCAGAAGATAATTAATTCAGTGTCCAGCCTTCAGATTTGGGTTGATGTCTGCTTATTTATAAAAGGGGAAAAAATTATGTTGTAGTGGCTTGAGGGTCAAAGTATCAAGACTGCTTTTCCCCATAAGTGGTGATATAACCATGGAGGCTGGAGGAAACGTGAATGACAAGATGCCAGGCCATGACCAGTGAGTTCTACATCAGTAATTAAAAACTTGGATGCAAGATACAGCTATTGATAATAATTGTAAACTTCTCAGTGAACAAGGAAAGGGCCACAAAGGCAGCAATTTCAGTGGTGAAACAAGAGTAGAGACTGGAGGAATTGATACAGTATGTTGATAAAATAATCATCAGCTGCTGCTAGGTACAGGCGATGTAAAGCCAAGGGTATCTCGCGCTTGGGGTGGATTATTAAACATAGGTTATTTACAGTATTAGGTAGAGGAAAAGGTGCTGCCCATATTGGAAAACTATAAGAACACGAGAATCCATTGAGATAACAAAAGGGTATAAAACTTGTAAATGAAATACAAAAACTTCAGACAATGCCACAAGGTCTATGACAATGTAAGAGTGTGAGCACATGATCTAAATAAACTGTTAATCATTGGCTTTTTTGACGCCATTCAATTAAAACTGGCAGAAAACATGCTTTAGGTTCTGTTTTATAGATGTCAGCTATTCTTCCCTCAAAACATTTTAAGTAAAATCCCTGAAATCTCAATTGCTCGCATGGATGTGATAGTGTCAAATTACCTTTGGACAATCTTCTCCAGCATAGCCAGCCCTGACTGTGTACGACCCAATGTCAAACACAAGGGCACCGACCTCATCTGTGAGAAATTGAAGTGACGTGAGAAAAAAATTTACTTAACAACAACAAAACAACAACATTTGAAGAAAGACACGCAGAAGAAACACTTACCGCAGAAAGAGAACATTTTCAATGTATTTGGAATAATTGATTTATTATTGTTTCTGTATTTTTCAACTTTTACATAAAACATCTACCACCAAATTCCTCTATATGCAATACAAATTACACATTCACCTGCCACAATGAAACATTAATGTAAACTGTAACTGTTTCACTGCCGATTGAGACAAAATTGAGAGAAATTTGATTTCCCAGTGAGCAACATTAAAGGAATTGCACGAGATTTCAAGGCAAGACTCTTGCTGCAACACAGACAAAACAAAATTAAGTATTAGTTCAGTAAGCAACCTATACTCTGAAAGACTAAAAAAATTTCCTTGTTAGTGCTTTGATGACCAAAAGTCTAGCTCCCTAGTTATGCTTTTTTTTTGGCTTTGTCCATTCTATTCGCATAATATTCTCCTGGGAAAATGCCAAAGTGTTCCTGAGGGCTTGCTTCTCTTCATTTCTTTTTGTCTCCAGTAACTAATTCTTGAATGTTTTGTTTACAGTGCAAATTTTCTTGAAAATTGCTAACTCCTGTTAAAGTTAGACAAATATTCCAGGCTCATTTAACTCTTCAGGAACTCTGTCTCTTCAAGCAGAAGATTTGGCACATGGAGGATAGTAAAATGTAGGGTATGCAGGGTAGATTGATCGTAATAGGATAATAGGTCAGCACAACATCATGGGCCGAAGGGCATGTACTGTGCTGTACTGTTCTACGTTTTATTAACATTCCCTAGTGATAAGCCATGGACTTGCTATCTCCATCACTTGGCTCACTCTCTCGGACCTTATCTGCGAGATTCAGCAATATTATAAGAGAACACTCTAAGCCAATCCTACAACAGTTTTGTGTGGGCTTATCTCCTCTCAAAGCCCATCTCCACAGCATTGTGAATCATACGGGTCTTGTGTTGAGGCAGAAACTTTAACTAGTTATCCTTTAAATCCCCAGCTTCATTCTACCTTGAAACTAAATAGACAGTTTAAAAATGCAACTGTTTACAAAACTTGACATTCCTGAAACCTTCCTATGACTTGAGATTAACAGTTGATCCACCATTAGACAAACACTTTGATCAGTGTTCATTCTTCATCTCCAGCAAAACAACCTGGGTCCGACTTTACTTCCAAGCAGTTCACTCTTACCATCAATAGAATTCAGAACCAGTCATATGACTACCTTCATGCCTCCATTTTACTCAAAGACATAATTTTATAAAACCTTATTTTATGACTAAATGCTTACATGAGAAGCTAGAATATGGTTACTGGAATGTGCCAAATATGAGAACAGTAATGTTCAGTGGAATAGGAGATTCAGATTCTGCTCAGTTCTGGCTTTGAACCACACTTAGTAGAGGTTCTGGGAGAATAAAAGGAGTCAGGATGAATCCGAGATTTCTTTTGAACAGTAACTCACTCTTTCTAGTACTGTAAACAGGAGTCTGGAAGCAAAGTGCCAACAAACTTGGAAACAGAGCCATCAGATTTAACCAGGCTTAACTTGAAAGAAGTACCAACATTTTCAAAATACACTAAGAATAAATACAATTCTATAGAATTATAGAACATTTACACTGCATAAAGAGGCCACTTGGCGGCCCATCATGTCTGTGCCAGCCAAAGACAAGGCACCCAGTCAAATCCTCCAGCATTTGGTCTGTAGGTCTGCAAGTTAAGGTACTTGAAATGCACGTGCAGGCACCATTTAAAAGAGCTGTGGATTTTGCTTCTATATCCTTTCAGGCAGCGAGTTCCAGATTTCCACCATCCGGATGAAAAAATTTTTTAACACCTCTCTTCTAATCTATATCAATCACTGAATCACTGTCCTCCCTGCTAATAGAAACAGGCCTTTCCCACTGTCTAACCCAAACCTTCCAGCAGCTTCTGTTGTATCAAAGAGAAAAACCCCAGCTTATTGATTCAATCTCCCCTCAAAGTAACGTTTTTCCAGACCTAGCAACATTGTTGTAAATTTCCTCTGTAGCCTTTAGACCAATTATATCCTTGCTGCAATACAATGACCAAAACCTTACTTAAGAGATAGTAGGAACTGCAGATGCTGGAGAATCTGAGATAACAAGGTGTAGAGCTGGATGAACACAGCAGGCCAAGCAGCATCAGAGGAGCAGGAAAGCTGACGTTTCGGGTCTAGGCCCGAAACGTCAGC